ATAATAATAATAATAATAAATAACATGTGTATAGTGCATAACCCCACTCTACAGCAAGTTCTATGCGCTTTACACTATATTATTACTCCAGCAGACCATAGAACACTCATTAACATTCTTTGCCTCCCTGGAAGCGTACAGCGCAAGCAGCTGATTAAGGCAAGATCTTTCACTGTCTGTAGCTGGGTACCCATTCCCACCTAGGTGAAGTGAGGAAAATTCGTGTTAAGTGCCTTTCCCAAAGACACAACGTCGGGTCCCCTGACAGGATTCGAACCCCCGACCTTACGGTTGCGAGTCTGAGAGCCTAACCACTAGGCCGCCGACCTATACCATAATGTACCTTCTTCGGGTATCACGTCTTCTGCATGCAACAGGGAAGAGTAAGGCAATAACAAATTGACACCGGTTAACAACAACAACAACAAAAACAACAATAAAAACAACAACAAAAACACCACTACCAACAACAGTAACAATAACAACAACAACAACAACAACAACAACAACAACCACAACTACAAGAACAACAACAATAACAATAACAACAACAAGGAAACTTTAAATGCCATGTTTTACATACTTATACATGCAGTTATTTTTATGCTTTTCTTATTTGATTTGGCCAAGCTATTTTGTTAAAACTTCTTAGCCTGACGTATTTCTAATGTCTAGCAAACAACTGAACCGGCTGAGCTGAAGGTGTATAAATACACACCATAGAGCATGTTTATATAACATTTGTTTGTTGTTGTTTTTTTTTGTTTTTTTTGGGTGTTGGTTTTGTTTGCCTGTTTTTACACAATTAAGTCGTGCATTCTTGCATGTCTTCTTTTATCTCTTTAAAACCTTTATCTGCTGAAATCCAAGGCTTTTTTATAGACCTAGGTCTCCCTCCCTCCTCATTCTCCTCTCTCTCTCTCTCTCTCTCTCTCTCTCTCTCTCTCTCTCTCTCTCTCGATACCACACCCTTGCTGACGACGTAAATTACTATGTCATATTGCACTGGAGATGTGAAGATACATTTTTTCCCTATCATCTGACTGTGTAAGTCTCGGTGTCTTTGCCAGACTGTACTTCCCTTGACATCTTAGAGTCTTTAGGGATCAAGGACGTCAGAGTAAAATTACAAGTTTTCGAAAATGGAACAGATACATCATCCCTCAACATTTATTTAGAACCTCACCCCGTTGCCCGTTCTGATGTCTATAATTGACATAATGAGATGAGATAGTGGTCAACATTGTTGATAGATTTTTAAAATTCTACCTGAATAAGCAAATTATTTTCTTGTTTGTTT